AACATTTTAACCTTACCATGTAGGAAGGCGATACTTTCCAAAGGTTAGTAAAACGTGCCTCTTTCGGTTCAAATGAATTTTGATTTCTGTTGAGACTGGGCAAGAACTGGAAGAGTATTAGGCTATCATTATTGAGGGTTCCGATCAGGGACTCCGAGTATAAGCAAGGGGACATAAATTAAAATTACTAAAAACATTGGTTTGTTAATTTTTTATAAGGGAAAGAAACGATTTCGTTGTCAGGATACGTTCTCGACAAGGTAGGTACCTACTAAAGAGACTTAATGTCACGAACAAGAATTTTAAAGAGAACATCAACTGCCGAACAGTTATTAAAACGGTTCAAGTATCGCCATATTAGTCTGGATCGTAAGATTCGTTGTAAAAATAATACGTTCAGGCGATCGATCATGACGGACACGCAAGTCAGGTTTGAATAAACAAATTTCCCTTTTAAGACTTTGGCAATTGTCATATCGGCGCGAGATTTAATCTTTCCAGTCTAACTATCTTCCAAAGATTTAATAATTCATTCAGTCTTCGACCATGATGAAAAAATAAGGGACTTCACGCAACCTCGTAATAGATGCAAATTACTTGATGCATTGACACGTGGCGGGAAAAATTACTTCCGGTCACCGCAGCAGACCATTCTGTAGTCGTTGCTTAGCTGGAGTGACGTCACGAGAGGAATAGTTCAGGGCTCAATCCTCGGCCCTCTGATATTTAATATTTTTGTAAATGATCTATTTTATGTTGTGAAACAGTGCAATCTTTCCAGCTTTGCCGACGACACAAACATTGTCTATGCCCATACAGAGGTGGAAAGGGCAATCAACTCAGATCTTGCGTTGGTAGACAAATGGTACGATCTGAACGGTCTTAATAAAAGAAACAATTCAAAATACCAAGCCATTTTCATAAGTAAAAAACAAAACAAACCGACTTTAGGTGTAAAATTACGATCATTCCCATAACTCCTCATTTGGAGATGCTTGGCGTCAACATTGACGACCAGTTAAAGTTTGAGAACTATGACGTGTCTAAGGTTTCCAGAAAAGTGTCACAACAGATAGCGGTACGGTATTGAATTGTATTGTATTGTATTGAATTGTATTGTGTTGTATTTACAGTACCGCTCGCGTATGTAATGCCGGTTGCGAATTTTTACCTGTTAAAGAACCCCTTGTCATGATCATCATAAGTTTGATCAACATCCGGCGCAAATCCAAAAAAGCTCAACAAATGGGTGCTACTGAAAAATGGAGTGGTTAACTTCCCTGTTAACTGTGGTGATGAATTAAGCGGCGAGTTGGTTAATCAAAGGAAACTGCATGTTATGCGGCCAACTGAGATGATGAAGAAAAGTGGCTACTGGTGCCTAAAATTCTGTAAGAAGTACTGTTTTAATGACTCGCATTTCGTCAAAGAGAATAGAATTAATTTGGCAGTTCTAACTTTTTTCATTTGCATCTTCAAACGTAGAGCCATATGCTTCTCACGGGAACATGTCAGGGTGAAGACATGAATAAAATCGTTCCATTTATGTACAATTTTCGAAGCTTATCTAATTTCCCTACATTTTTCTGAAGTTTAGTTTTCACACATTTCATTTCCCATCCAAATTAGGCTAGTTTTCTTAGAAAAAAGGAAGCCTAAACTTTTTGGACTCAAAAATGAAATGGAAAGAGGAATCAGAAAAATTCTCACTTTCTTAATACGTTAAATTGCATAATTATAAAATTATCGGAAAAATAATACTGTCTGAATCCCTCGTAATTTCGAGAAGACTCAAGTTCCCCAAGGATAATCTAACTGATACAGATTTTATACCACCACTTAGAATGCTTTTCTAGATATACTCTCATCCTGGATAGCCAAAAAAGTGTTTTTAGTGAATTTAGGAGGAAACCGTTGTTGGGTACCGGCCCTTGATGAATACTGCAAACTTGAAACTTTCTTAGCCCGATTTTTATCGGGACCATTGAGAAACGGGCCCCAGTTTCTTTCTTTTTTTAGGTCATACCTGGCTCCGAGGCTGAAAGTAAAAGACCACAACCTAGAAGGTTTCCAAGCACATCTTTATTGCAACTATATATTCACCACGATAATAAAGCAACTACATTTGTTTGCTAACAGTCTCCACGAAATCAACTACAATCATATCATTATTTTATCATTCCCTTTGCCTAAAGACCCCTTCTCAATACAAAAAGATAATATTACGCTTAAAGTGCATATTATTTCTCAGGTTTACGATTCACATATTTGTTCTAGCTTATGCTTGGAACGTGACGTTAGCTCTACACCCACTTGTACAGGGCGCTGTTTAGGTTATATTTCTGGTTGTAATGGTTTACCACTGCAAGGTATGTGTGACCTTTGTACTCAAATGATGTCATACCATGCCCCCCATTTGTTGAAATCTCTTGGTACTTGATGAACTGCGCTCCAGAAGCCTGGTACACAACTGACTGAGTGTTTTCTTTCTTACTGTCATCATAGTAATTAGACACACCCAGGTACGTTTGACGGCTGATCATAAATGGGTGCCAAGCGACAGCCCCGTGAGTAGGTAAGGACTGGAACAGGACGAACTTGTTGCCATTCCACTTGTAAACGAAGGAGTCGGTGTTGTGTTTACTTCCAGAGTGGCGATTGGCAAAGACAAGGAATGTGTGAGTGTTAATGTTAAAAGACATGGCATCAAATGCTCCATGAGTCTGAAGAGACTGCAGTTTAACAAAGTGACCTCCTGACCACTTGAACACACTGGACTGAACAGAACCCTTGTGTTGGGAGTTGTAATTATTTGCAAAAGCGATGAATGTGTCACCGTTTATCACAAACGCTGTACATCCCACGGCACCTTCAGTTGGTATGTCTTGAATTCTGTTAAACTTGCCACCGCTCCATTTGTAGATAACTGACTTCGTGGATGTGGTACGTCCGTCATGGTAGTTGGCTACTGCGAGGTACTTCTCCCCGTATATCTTGAAGTACGTGAAGTGATTTGCTCCGTTTGTTGACAATTTCTGAAAGTCGACAAACAGCTTTCCATTCCATTGGTAGACTGTAGAATCCAGCCGGTTAGTTCCATCGTAATGATTAGCCACAGCAAGAAAATGTTTGTTTGCGATAGAAAAGTACTCCAGGTCAAAAGCTCCTCTTGTCTGCGGGGTCTGGTACGAAGACAATCTTCCAGTCGAGTTATCCATCTTGTAGATCATGGAACCTGTCTTGTATTTTTTAATGTCCCCATGATAGTTGGCAAAAGCAAGAAACAAGCTTCCATCAATGGTGAAATGTTCCACATCTACTGCTCCGCGGGTTGGAAGTTCTTGAACTTTCTCAAAGAAGTGGAATCCAATAGAGCAATCTTCCACAAGAAAAAAAAATGTTGAAAATCTTTGTTATTAAGAAATCACAAAAACAAAACAGCTAATAAAATAAGAGTAAAGGAGGGTCTGGATGGGGGGTACAAATGTCTTTGTCACTTAAAATTTCGGCCATTTGCCAGTTGTCAGTTAAATGGTTATTAATGATTAACTTTGAAACTTATTTGTATATTTTTGACGCGAAATTTGGCTTAAAAGGCACATATAATGTAAATTAAACGTTAAATTCGAAAACTGATGCCATAGTACCCTAATTTTCATCACTTTTGCTATTGCACATGTTGTAAGCATTTCAATTGGCCCTCGTTTTCTCAAGTCTCGTGTTACTCCCCTCCACTCGAAAGTTTTTGCTGGCCAGTGTCTAATATTGCCAACCATTAAGCCAATCAAAATTTATCCCTTCAGAATATTGTATACGCATTATGCGTGAGTCTTACGCCCGTGGACTAAAGACATCGACATTACGCATCAAGGACAATTTCTCACGCCTGACTCATAAATCCTGACAAATTGTTCTTAACACATGATGACTTTGTGTCCTTTTTTGTATTCTAACGAAATCATATCAAAGCTCGCTAAAGGTGTCGTCTTTTAAGTAGCTTCGGCAGTGCTCAAACGTCTTCGGGAACATCTGCGGACATTTAATTTTTGGCAACATTCGGAATTAAGTCTTCGGAAATTCGTCGAAAATCTTCGGACGTCGCTAGGACGTTGACGGAAATCTCCGTCATGACAAGGTGAAAATCTCACGCATTTGACTTAGAAAAAGTTGGCAGGTATAATATTGAGACGTAGATCGTAAGAAGACCAAGAAAAACGGCCAGCTCTGAATCATCTCAGTAAAAACTGCCAATTGCCTGTGTAACGCCCTCATTCTGAGCAGCCATCGGATGCTGTCGCGTTCTCAGAGGAGCGTAAATTTGAGATCATAGGTCATTTACAACAGATGGTACATGACACAAATGAGGTTTACAGCAAAATTATTAACGAAATATGACACTTATAATTAAGCGTCTTGCTGCTAAGATTACCCTTAAAAACGCACATTTGATCATATTGTCTGATGAAAAGAGTGGAACAATGCTATTTTGAGGCCTTAAAAACGGGTTTTGTAGAAAATAAGGGACAATCAGGTCCTTTGTCAGCTGACAGTAAAACCTAAGGTAAATGTCAGTTGTCAGTTAAATTTTCGGCCATTTGTCAGTTGTCAGTTAACCCCATCCAGACCCTCGTAAAGGGACCCGAAATCTCCTGTTACTTCTTCTCACTTCCTTATTCTTCTTTAGCTTCTACTGGTTCCTACTAATCACTAATAACTCCTACTCCTACTCCTACTAGCTAACAATCCAAATAGTAGAGCCTTTTATAGCCAAACCTGGTGGTGTTTGGGTTTGCTGACCGTGAGAATAAAAGAAGGCTGGCAAACTCAATGTGGATAATGTTTTGCTATCTCTGGGCCTAAACGGCTGCGATCGGCAAGAAGCTGCGACCCAATGGAAAACTAACAGCTTTGGTTAACGAACCCAAACAGGAACTACTTCAGCAAGACTTAATACCCTAAGTCAGCTCTGAACTCACAAACACGACTTCCAGTATAAAACTCACTTCTAACAAGGACATGTCAAAAATATTTCAGAAATGGAATTAGGTGAATTTGAAAACCAAGCAAATTTCAAGTACGAGTGAAAACATAAGATTAAAACAGGAAAACACCAAGTGAACATAATCCTGACTAAACCCTGACCCACCCAATGAAAGAAAAATGCAGCTTTAAGGATAAGTCAAAATACTTCACGACAGAAAAAAACAACAAAGGAAGGTTACTTATGTGCTCTGGTCTTGCAATTTCACTGTAAGGAAGCCACGTTTTTATAAAATTAAAATTCGGAAATTCTTCTAATTCCAATAAATCAATGTATATCAAAGACGACAGTAATAAATGATAAAATGTTCTTACTGGTTGAACAGCACCTTGATTTGCTGGAAGATGGGCTCTAAAACACAAAATAACGACAACAAAATACAATTTAATTACAAAACTAAGAATCTGCTGATGTAGTTATTTAGTTGTAAACAGTTATTGTTTTTTTAAATAGCAAATAGCATCTCCCAAAATCGGACACCAAGTGTCACCAAGTGTTGGTCCCTGATGTAGTTCAGTCATTTTCCTAAAAGCACATTTAATAAACACGGACACCTCTCAGAAATGGACACCGAGTATTTCCAAAACGACTTTTTCCATGGAAAAGCACTTAAGGGCGGGAATACAGCCGTTCAAAATGACAGTAATGATGATCTGGGAAGCTTCATTTTATCATATTTTTAAATACAATTCTACTATTGCCTAATGGAATGGTAATTAAATTAATTTGGCTTATTGTAATAAAGTTTACTATTACAAAAGATAATAACGAGTGTAAATCTTGTAATCTTTTAACGCAATAATTCCATTGTCACCACTAGATCCTTTTTCACCCTCTGTCAAAAAAAGCCCAAATATCTTGAGACGAATACCTTAGCATCACATGTTCCCGGCATTCCCCTTGGTCCCTGTTTGCCCTTTTGTCCTTGTGGTCCATCCTGTCCTTGTGATCCTTTATCACCATGCGATCCTTTCTCACCCTTTTTTAAAAAGATATAATTTGGGACATGGAAAACCCCAACATGGGGCATCCGCATTAGTACAAATCAAAAATTGTCGTACAGTTTGGATTTCTTTACGGGATAAAATGATTCCAGTCCAAGCCATTGAACATGATCTGAAATTAAAGCATTTTTTTTTAATTGATGCAATGGTAAGCTGGGTTGTAAAAAAGTTCAAATAACTTCATATTTAAAGTTGTTATATTGAATTTCCGTGAATGCAAAGCAATATCCGAGTCAATCCTGACTTGATACAGATGCACTGGTCAAAGTTACATCTTATACATCTTTAGGCTCCGTCACACTAGTCACAACTTGAAAACAACAACTCTTCAAATCCACTTGGCGTCCAATAAATAAGTCAAACGTTATGTTGCTATCGTAAATTCAAAAATATGGAGCTACACTTTGGGGGTAAAGATCAGCAGCCTTAGGCAGAAAATAGCTTTGAATTCTTTGCTAATGTGAAAACATCACTTCGTTATCCTTCGTTCATACGCGCAATGCTTCTTTTTGTTGGATTTCCCACGATAATAGACTGCGCAATCATTTATGCAAAATTTTACCTAGCTTATATTAACTTTTTAGAAGAAACTTAAAGGTTTTTAAAAAGCAGTACATTTCTAAACTAATACCTTATCACCAGCCTTTCCATTTTGTCCTGGTATCCCTGCCTCTCCTTTTTCTCCCTGGAAAAGAAAACATCAATCTCAAATCTAAGGATAAAACGGCAAAATAAATATTGCGGTTTAGGAAAATCACTAATAGGATTCTAGCTACAAGTATTGAGGGTGAATAAACCTCTTCTAGTTCGAAAAACACAGAGCGCAAATAACGGGCAGAAGCTGCTGGCAGAGGAATGTGAATCGAGACAAGGGAAACAGTCATTAGGGCCAAAAAATAGCTTTGCAGGTTGATCAACTGAAATGAAACGATTTGTAAGGCTGATTAAAAATGCTGAATTAATTGTCGAATTAGCTGTATATAGAGGTAAGTAATTGATATAAAAGACATAAAAAAAGTCACAATATTTGACTAATTACTGCTTCAAATGAGACTCAAGACATTCTTGGTTAAGCTCTAAGTTAAAATTCGATAAGAATAGCAAAACAACCAGGGATCGGATCAGCAAACAACGTGTTTGATTCTGTTTGGTCAAGTTTTTTTGAGGGAAATGTTGAACTGTCATTATTTTCCATAGACCCGACCAAAATAACCAAGCGGCAGGGATTTCCGACTTTTTTCTGAGAGGTTTAGTGCCAAACTGATCATTTAAGTGACATGGATTAGATATGACTCTTTTTACACAAGTTAAAGGGAAGGATGGGAGGTGCACTCGAGTAAAATTGTTTGGCTTGTGCTGCTAGCTCCCGAGAGCTCTAACCTAATATTTCTAGGTTATTTCTTTGGTCAATTGAGGAGCTCAGTGCAAGAACGACACCTTGATTTTTTTTGTCATTTTAGAAAGTGCTTCAAAGTTACTAAGTTTTTGCATGTTACTTTTATTTAAGCAGACTAACATGTCTCTGAAATTTTTTTCCTATTTTTTGCCTTATATTCCCCGTCGCTACAAAGTTAACTGACTTGTGTGTTTATGGTCAGTTCTCCTTTTTAATCCTTTTTATTTCCAATGAGGCGGTGGAGTTGAATATGTGCGACCCAATTCTATCAATTCTGTTGAACGTACAACTTCATTATAGTCAAACCATTCAGTGTCAAATGATTCCTTTTCTAGGGAGACACGTATCGTGTGTTAAATCGATGAAGTAAACAGGCGATTATGAATTTTTTCTCCTTTTCCGGGAAAATGCTGTACTAATGGAATGGAATGGATGTATATCTTGAAAACGTGAATCACACTTTATTTTTCGTCGAACACAACTCAACGTGACATTATCTAATGCAACGTTTTATGTAGGGGAAAATACATTATGAAGAATTTTCTTCTTGATGTCCCTTTTCAGCTTCCCACGTTTAAATGATTACGCGAGTTGAAACAAGCTACAAGTACGAAAGCGCACTTTTACACAGACGTTTTTATGCTGGCTGTCTCGGCCGTGTTTTGCTTATCAGACCTTAACAATTCCATTCCTAACGGTAGCCTAATAGTGGCCAAGGCAAAACGACGAAAAAATACAAATGTACCTTTGCGAAATCTAAAGAAATAAATAGTATTTTATAAAACCTTTGCCAAATGAAAGAGGTTTCAAAAGTTAAAAGTTAGACTGACAAATAAGTAGTATAGGAGGGACCGGTTACTCCGGTTTTTTGGGGAGGATTCTCATTAAGGTGGGGAGGAATAAATTAACGTCGCTGACGTCATAGGCTATTGTCTTGATCTCATGAATAAAATGTGGTGGATTTAATTAAGTATACTGGTTTGACCGGTTTTTCAGGTTCTATTTTTAGCCTGGTTGATATAACTGGTTTATTTTTGTTTTATGACATAACCTATTGTCTTGAACTCATGAATAAAATGCGGTGGAATAAATTAGCGTCGATGACGCAAGAGTCTTTCGTCTTTATTCATAGTGCGGTGATTGTAGAATCTATTCTATCTTCCAAATAAAAGCGCGCTCTCCGTTCAGCATGTTACTCTTGCAATCGCTTTGCTAAGGAAACAAGTTCGCTTGCCTAACTAAAAATCCGGTTATAAACAAAACTCAGACGCAAAAAAGTGGAGCTCAAACTCTTTATTTCAATCTATTGCAAACAGTGCTCTCTCTAGAAAATTACTTTATCTTGATGTCTTGTTACACGCTCTGTTAACCAGTAGTAATTTGCATCTGACTCATAAGATAAGGTACCGTTTCATACACAATTGTTAGGTCTATTGAAAAATAAAATATTCCACTGCAAAGTGCATCGACAACCGTTTAATTAATTTGTTATTGGTCTATCGAGCATTCGTTTGGTTCTTTTCTAGGAAAGATCTTACGCTGGGATCGTCCTTGTGTAAATAAATCCATTTCGATTTTCCATTGCAATAGTGTCTTATTTTCACAGGCCAGTAATTTCCATACGAGTACGATGGAAGATACGGATCATAAAGATGTCTGGCAAAGCGGTACATTTCCGTGATCCCAAAGTCTTTTGGTAGGGTTTGGCATCGGGGCGCTCCTTGCATATAATTTTGTACAACGGGATAGGCTGCTTCAGACAATACTGCATCAAAAGGAAATGGCCGTGACCTTTTTACAATTGGCGGGGAACATTGACCACATGAGGCGATTTTACTGCTGATCTAGCTTCGCAGGCAATGTTTTCCTCGTAACTGGTCGTTTTGACGGTTTCGACCGATTTTGCGGGGCTGTTAATAGTCGGATATCGACGACAAGAGCCGAAAATGTCACTCAATACTTGCTTATTTGCCGCCGTGTCCGGTTTATTATCTACAAAGATGTAACCGTAAGGCCTCTCTGTTTCATGATAATAAGCTGTCATGAATCGTTGGCGATTCGTATCAAACATACGCTCAGCAACAATTCCGATTTGTTTCCGATCGCTAGGACCTCGGAAAAGAGCCATGTACTGTGCATTCCGACTGATATCGGTGTTAAATTTTCCCTTGGGGAACATATTCTGAAGGAGCAGTATGACGCTGGCATTTCTATGGCGACCTTGGGTAAACAACCGAGAAACGATGGGGCTTTCGATCGCTTCTGCCATTAGATCATCAAAGATGATAACGTTGTTGTATTTTGGGTCAATTTCTCGCAGATCTTCTTGAAATGAGGGAAGGCCACGAAAAAATTTAATGTCCTTTCCGATCGCTGATTTCAAAGCTTCGTATCTATCTTGCCACTGACTGTAATACCATAAAATGCGACGGGGCTTGTTGGTTTCGTAGACAATACGATCTCTCGTTAGAATCTGTTCTACGAAAACTGTTTTCCCTGATTGACTTGGTCCAACCACAAGGAGTGAGAACTTATGGCGAAACATAAAATCTGGATAAGGCTCGGTTGCCAAGGAAACATCATGGGAAAGCTTTACCTTCTTCGCAGTAGAAGAAGTTTTCGGCGTTTCGTTTACTGGTCTTCTTCTTTTTCTTGGTTCACATATTTTTCTCGTGGAACCAAATGAACAACGAGGTAAGTCGACGCTTGTAGAAATATATTCTCTTTTTGATTCCCAAGAAACCTTAGCCTCTTTTAAGAGTCGTGTTCGTCTTAGCCCGGTTAAGTCATGGACAATTTCAAGATGAGAACTCAAGTTGGACACACCAGGTTTGCCACATCGAGGTTTGCTTATGAAAAATGACTCACAGTTAACAGACTCATTTAATATATCGTTATTTTACAATGGTGGGGAGTACTTAAGAGAATTCAGGGGTACAGGAAGGGTACAGGAGGGGTACAGTAGGGGTACAGGAAGGGTACAGGAGGGGTACAGGAGGGGTACAGGGAGGGTACAGGAGGGGTACAGGAGGGGTACAGGAGGGGTACAGGAGGGGTACAGGAGGGGTACAGGAGGGGTACAGGAGGGGTACAGGAGGGGTACAGGAGGGGTACAGGAAGGGTACAGTAGGGGTACGGGAGGGGTACAGGAGGGGTACAGTAGGGGTACGGGAAGGGTACAGGAGGGGTACAGTAGGGGTACAGGAAGGATACAGGAGGGGTACAATAGGGGTACAGGAGGGGTACAATGAAAGTTCATAGAGTTCCGTTGTGCTTTGCAGCCGTGCCTCCATCGATAGCTATAAAAGAAGTAAGCCGCTGTTTCTGATTCAGTCAGTTCTTAAACCTCGTGCAGTTCGGATCACAATGTTCAGCAATTATAATCATTTCGTTCAAAAAGGATATGGAAATTTTGAAGATGATGACGACGATATTGAAAGCTCACAAGAAAGCGAACAATCATCTCAAAGTTCTCAATCTAGCGAAGAAATGGACTCTTCCGGAGAGGAGGAGGAGGAGCATGTAGATCCTTGGTCACGCATTCAAAATGAAGTTTGTAATCGCCACGAAGCCCAGCTCGAAGCTCTGATCAACGAGTATGAACAAAACGGAGACTCGCCTGAAGTGGCCCGCATTAAAGCTGAAAATGCTTTGCTTCCAGTATATAGAAAGGAATTGAGAAAAGTGTTCTTAGAGTTTTTACAGTGGATGCATGCAATGAAGAAAGATCCGACATTCCGAAAAGTGATGGAAACCCGCCAAGATCTCAAAGACACAGAAGGATGTGACTGGTTGGAATCGACAGAACTTGCCATCGATAAGCGGAAATTCTTACTCAATCGATTTTTTGTCAAACAAACTGTTCCCGAAAACTAAGCCGGAACTCTGTCTATTCATCTATTGTTGTAACACTTTGATGGTTTTGTTGTCAATAAATGTATTTTTTAACCGAAACAAAGGTGTAGTGTGGTTGTAGCACGCGCGTATTAATCCCACCATTGTTTATATATAACTGAGTTGATTCCCGTGGATAATTTATGCGACAAGCGTTCAAGTTGGCTCAGTGTATATTAAATTAGTTTGCGATGAATAATAAAATACAGTTCGCTTGCGTTCGTTTTGTTTCGTATGATACAGGTCTAAAAGGAAAAAGGCCAACCTGTTAATGGTTAACGCTCGATACCACAGTCTAGAAACGTTTGAAGGTTGAATTATATTGACAAAACAGAATCAATGGTTTTGTAGAATAAAAATATTTATCTTTGGTCACAGTGAATAGTTTTAAGTCGAGTACTGTTTTCGGACCGTTGACTAGTATGTTTGGAAGCTATCCGCTCAAAAATGTTATTTACTGGAGTTTGTGACAATAATAAAATGCTGAACGGAGAGCCCGCTTTTATTTGGAAGACATAATAGATTCTACAATCAGCGTTAAAAGAGCCCGGGCAAGTCTAGGCAAGCCTATTGTTCCTATTGTAGTAGAGTGACGCTCATTAGTAAACCTATCCACTTCATTATATATGGGGGAAGACACTTAATTAGTATGCAGGAAATCCAAATTAGTATGCGGGAAGGCAGTGAGCAGGCTTTTATGCCGTTCAAACAATAAAAATACGGCAACCAACCAGAATGCTTCGTCAAACGAGACAGCCAATGAGCGTCTTTCTAATTCCGTTCAACCAATCAGAACAACTATGACATCGTAGTACCCCGGAATACATATGACATCATCTTACGAAAATAACTAGAACCTGTCAAACCGGTTATACCAACCATGACATCATCCATCTAAAAATAGCACATGACGTCATTGATAAACCCGTCAAACTGGATATACTTAATTAAATCCACCGCATTTTATTCATGAGATGAGGACAATAGCCTATGACGTCATCGGCGTTAATGTATTCCTCCCCACCTTAATGAGAATCCTCCCCAAAAAAAGAGGATAATTCGGTCCCTCCTATACTACTCAAATAATTTTGCAATAACGTTAACTCGCCTTTGCTCCAACAGTTCCATCACGTCCGTCGCGGCCATCTCTTCCTGAAGAGTGCATTTAAAAGGAGGAAAGGCATTAATCCACACATGACAATTTGGGTCGTTCGTTATCACTTGGTTTTGATGTTTATATTTCTTTACATCACTGTTTTTATTTTTATTTACATCACTTAAGCTATCCCGAGTATAAAATGAAGGTTTTATGAGCAGATCATTCAACAAAAACTTCAAAATATTCTTTAGAGTTTTCAGTTATGACACTACAAGAAACCAAATACAGTTCTTCAGAATTGTATGTACTTCTGCAAAAAAACAAATTTTCATATATTGTTTCTACTATTGTGAAATTTGTAACTTGCTGTTCACTAGTAGTTTTATTTCTTCCCAAGTCACTTTTACACTCCACGAACTATTGAACGCTCCTCCCTCTGCAGTATCTTTTTTTTTCAGTGTTATCATAAACATGAATCTAGGGGCAACTTTTAGATATCTGAAACCAAACAATAGTGCGATGTCTTTGATTGTAACTTCTCTTTTGCAGTTTTTACTTGGCATTAAAATCGCCGATTATTGTTCGGCCTGAATGAATTGGCACGTCGATAAATGTAAATACAACTTCCACATCAAACTAGATCACCATTCTTTCCATGTTTTCAGTATTTTCTAGTTCTAAGAAGACTACGAAGTGGCTACTAAACATTACATTTGAGTCAGTAACGATTCATATCGCTGGAGAACTTACCATTCCGCATCCAAGCAGTGCAACAGTTTTACAGTTGTTTTGGCTTCCGGCAGATTCGTTCGCCTGTTTGATTATAATCATCGAATAAAAGAAAGGAGATTTAAGGCAACGTTGCTAAAAATTAGACATCTTTCAGTTCCAGACTACAGAAAATACGGTAAAGGAAATATACGGCGACAAGAGTACCGGCCAGGTTTTCGAAAATAAAGCACCATAAGCTTACATTTTTAGAAGATTTCCTTTCCGACGTTCCGAACGAACCGACCAAGAAAATGGTCAACAGGGCCACCCAACGAATATTTTTCTGAAAATGAGCCGTTAACTACAGAAAACGAACATTTAGACGCTTTTAAGGCATTTTCAAGCGCTTTTCTGTGTTGCTGGAAAGAATTTATCTGTTCCTCACTCCCAGCAGGTTAGATGGCTATTCTTCCAGCCAGCAGAGCGGCCTTTTCCATGTTTACCAGCCAGCAGAAAAAAAATATCAGTATTCAAATAAGCGCCGCAGGGTTGCTTGGAAATTGCGGCGCTGATTCGAGTATATACGGTAAAAATTAATAACACACAGCCTTATCTCTCGCTTGTCAACCAAGAATAACAACAACTACAATGGTGATGAAAAAGGAACGTCACTAACCCTTCCTTAGATGTACCTTTTGTGAATCCTATTCAGTCCAACTTAAATATGATACGTCAGGCGGTTTAATAGGTTTTGACAACGGTGAACGCGCGCTTCGCCAAAACTGGAATTTATTATGTAAGATGGACGAAAAGAATGCATTTACCAAGAACATGCAGATATAACATTTTATCATGACTACTGGCAACCTTAAGATACCTTTCCTTTACACCCTGATAAGTTTGTTCTGCAGTTGGAGCTTCCACAAAAAACCTAAAACACTTAAATCTAAAAACAAGGAAAAAAAGAACCATTAGATGAATATTAAAGAAAACCTACTAAATCCAGCTGAAAGAGGTGTAAAATATAATTACAACAGACAAGTGTTTTTTTGTTTAAAAAAAGAATAATAATAATAAAATTCTCTCCCTAAGAATGAATGGAATGTTGCTATCAACATCATCCATCACGGGCGTGTAGAGAGGTTTAATTAAATCAGCTTTTCCCAAATTTGGTTATATTTTCTGAAAACATGGTTGAAATCGCATTTCTCTTCTTGTCTGTATGTTAAAGCTTTTTCCTTAAAACAGAGCTCCTCAATAACTGCTCTTTATTTTTTTCATTTCTAAACATACACATACTGAATAAGGGCTAGAACATTTTACTTCTTGGTTGAGCAACTTTAACCGCATTAAATACAGTTATAATTGAAACATGAAATTTCTAGTGAAGATTAAAAAAATTTACATAAATGTACCGCATAAACCATGAATCAGTATCTGCAATCCACACTACATCTGCAACTTGCACAAAAATCATTGTAAAATAGTACAAAAAGTGACGACAATTGTACACACATCAGCAGTAAAATTATAACCATGTCTTCCAATTAATCAAGAAAGTTATTTAGGAATTTATTAAAACAGCTCTGAGACAGTTACCCTAGTTGAAGCAAAACAAAAAAGGGATAAATGATTTTAAAAAAAAGTTGAGAAGGACAAGTAACTGATAATAAGGCCAAGCTAACAGCACCCATCGTCAGAAGCCTTACACAACGTGTGGAAGAAGAGAGGGTCAAAAGAACCAACAGTAAAAGAATGCTCGTTGTCTTAACTGTAGCCCCACCTACAGCAGGAGAGAGGGTCGCAAGGACGAACAGACAAAGAATGCTCGTTGTCACAACTCTAGCCCCACCTACGACAGGAGAGAGGGTCGCAAGGACGAACAGACAAAGAATGCTCGTTGTCACAACTCTAGCCCCACCTACAGCGGGAGAGAGGGTCGCAAGGACGAACAAACAAAGAATGCTCGTTGTCACAACTCTAGCCCCACCTACAGCGGGAGAGAGGGTCGCAAGGACGAACAAACAAAGAATGCTCGTTGTCACAACTCTAGCCCCACCTAATGGCAGGAGAGAGGGTCGCAAGGACGAACAAACAAAGAATGCTCGTTGTCACAACTCTAGCCCCACCTACAGCGAGAGAGAGGGTCGCAAGGACGAACAAACAAAGAATGCGCGTTGTCACAACTCTAGCCCCACCTACAGCGAGAGAGAGGGTCGCAAGGACGAACAAACAAAGAATGCTCGTTGTCACAACTCTAGCCCCACCTACAGCGGAAGAGAGGGTCGCAAGGACGAACAAACAAAGAATGCTCGTTGTCAAAACTCTAGCCCCACCTACAGCAGGAGAGAGGGTCGCAAGGACGAACAAACAAAGAATGCTCGTTGTCACAACTCTAGCCCCACCTAATGGCAGGAGAGAGGGTAGCAAGGACGAACAAACAAAGAATGCTCGTTGTCACAACTCTAGCCCCACCTAATGGCAGGAGAGAGGGTGGCAAGGACGAACAAACAAAGAATGCTCGTTGTCACAACTCTAGCCCCACCTACAGCGAGAGAGAGGGTCGCAAGGACGAACAAACAAAGAATGCTCGTTGTCACAACTCTAGCCCCACCTACAGCGGGAGAGAGGGTCGCAAGGACGAACAAACAAAGAATGCTCGTTGTCACAACTCTAGCCCCACCTACAGCAGGAGAGAGGGTCGCAAGGACGAACAAACAAAGAATGCTCGTTGTCACAACTCTAGCCCCACCTAATGGCAGGAGAGAGGGTCGCAAGGACGAACAAACAAAGAATGCTCGTTGTCACAACTCTAGCCCCACCTAATGGCAGGAGAGAGGGTCGCAAGGACGAACAAACAAAGAATGCTCGTTGTCACAACTCTAGCCCCACCTACAGCAGGAGAGAGGGTCGCAAGGACGAACAAACAAAGAATGCTCGTTGTCACAACTCTAGCCCCACCTAATGGCAGGAGAGAGGGTCGCAAGGACGAACAGACAAAGAATGATCGTTGTCACAACTCTAGCCCCACCTACAGCAGGAGAAACAGTCACAAGGACAAATGACCAATGAATACTCAAACATGAGCAAGCCCTTCAGTGAGAGGAATAGTGTTCTGTTTACATAGACTTACTCTACTGTCAGGCAGGTTAAGTTAAAAGAAGTTTAAACATGACCAAGTGGTTGACTGTCTGCCGCTATATGGAAAAGGAAATCAAAGATCCATTGCTAGAAAATTACCAAAATACACTATACAACACAGTCCAATGATGCATTCTCTTCACACCTACCAGGTACATGTCTACAGAAACGAATGTCTTTTTATAAGTAAATCAATAAATTGTTTTTTTCAAAGGTATTTGTAGCAGCATCAAAGTTAAATTATCATTCTTTACATGTGTATGTTTCCATAATGTTCTTTCCTGTCCTTTGTTCCTTTGTACTAGGATAAATTAAATTTCACGATTAATCATTATGGTACTTCACCCCGTACGAAACTTGCAGCGCTGTACAGCGCCACAAAATCGCTGCAAAATAGCTGTACAGCTAAATTACAGCTGTTCAGCAGCCTTTTAGAAGCCAAACAGCAGCTTCATTCAAGTTGCAGCGGGATGCAAAAGCGCTGTGCAGCCTTTGAAGGCTCTTTGAAGCTCGCGGCAGCGGTTTTGCAGCGCAGTTGCCGACTTTCAAACGCTGCGAAGTAGCTGCAGTAACGCTACAATTCAGCTGCGGTCGATCTGACTTTCTTGAGCGCCAATAACATGAATCGCCAGATAAAGCCTTGGCACAGATTACGGCTTTTATAACGCGAAAACTTTGACTGTACCTCTAAGAAATGTGAGTAAGCTTGTGCGCAAAGAAGATCACTTATTGAATAAACCTCCAAATCCTATGCTTTCGGAATAAAGATTTCAATAAATTTCATTCCGTGACCGGCGAGTGTGGGAATGTTATCGCTAATTCCCTGGAGACATTCTAGGCCGTAATCTAATTGGTCGGTCCTTTTGCATGAGATCTGATTACATCCCCAGACAAACACAGAACATTTGCGACCGTTGAATGAAAGGCGCAAACATTCTAAGTTTTTTTGCATCTAGTTCTGTTTCGAGATGGAAGTTCTGTTGAAGTTTTTGGATGGAACAGCTCAAACGTATTTGCAAACAACGCACTGAACAGTGACTTCTACGCCAAGTATCGACGAATCGAACCAGAGCAAGCAACACAGATACAAGAATCTCAGATGGGGTTCGCACTTACAAGATTCTTATACGCTCGTGGTAATGTTCGTTCCTTAGTCCATTGTAAAATTTAACGACGACCAAAGTGAAATTGGGTTGATTTCTTTCATGAAAAAA